ACGTTCTAGAAAACATATGTTTAGTAACCCAACCTTTGCCAAGAAGCATTGACTCTTCAAAAGCCTTCCCTGCAGGAGAACTTCACTATCGACTCCTTGCATATTTCATGCCCGGATTGTCCGCAGGGAGTGACCTTCAATGCAACGGATGGAACCTTGCAAGCTCTGAGCCCTGAAAATCTCCAATGCTCCAAGACCTTCACCGTGCCACTTGGTGAGAAGGAAAAAAATCTGATACAGTACAAATGTTTGCTACCCCTTTTTGCACCGTCTCAAATCCCACCGTCTCGATTGCTGTTCGGTAGAAGTTGCTGTTCGCTTGATTTGTTGGGAGGTCGTGGACACAACTAGTTGCGGTTTTCCCCAAGCGAACGCTACCTGCCTCACAGGTCAGGTGGCTTCACACCACGCTGTGCTTGCAGCGACTATCGGATTCTTTGTGCAAAAATGGGTCGTATGCGTTCCTTTTGATTGTTTGTAGTTTTCGGTGGATTTTTGTCGAAAGCCCAATGAAAGGTATTGTTTCATTGCGTTCTGAACTCAGAGAAAGGTGTTGTTGGCCTCTTGTGTTTGATTCAGAAGGCCCACTGATTAGCCACGGACGCAAATTTGGATGCGGAAGTGGACAAGGGGGCCCGCCAATGACAACAACATATCTTCAATTGTAGACCGGCTGATGGCTCGGTGTGACAACATGTAGACCAAGCATGTCCAGACTGGAGACGGTTGTCTTGTTCCTAGCTACTTGCTCCGTTCGTAGCGATGCCAGGAGCCCCGTTCGTAGCTTCTTGTTCCTACTTGCAAGAAAAAACTCTTGGCTCCCTTGATGTAAGGGGTCCCTTTTTGACGTCAAACGTCTCAAACGCATCGAAGGACGACCAGCGAGCAGTTCCGCAATACAGAGCTAGTATCTCTCGAAGACGTGTTCCGGACGTGCAGATTTTGCAACTCACTAGCAACTGGCAGAATGACATGGTTTTGCCAATCGTTCACATGCAAAGGATGGCTACTGTGAACTTTTTTGTTGAGCAAAAGTGATTCAGATCACAACTCCGGTCGATCCTGTTTTTTGGGGTGCTTTTACCTGCATTCCTGAGGCAACAGGCACTCCTACTTCCAGGATGGCCTTTGTCGCACGTGTGAGATCTACCGACCTTGGTCTGATGGCAAACGTGATGTTTGCCATGTGCTACCACGCGAAAGTCCAGAGCGTGTAATCCTGTTCACAGGTGCAGCAGTGTTCGTGATCCTGACCTTCATCGTGTTCGAGATCCTTCACGCTCCTTTGGTGATTCTTGATGCCAGGTCTGATTTGGAAGACCCGTCGGACATGGCAGCCAAAAGGATTTTCACCGTCTCAGTGAAGGGTCCTATCACCAGCCTTCCAAAGAGCATGTCTCAACTATTGCACCAGAGAGTGCATTATCGTGCAAGGGGAACTGGTTTGCAGTGGCTGGATTTTGATCCACAAAAGCCGAAGGCAATCAAGGTGCGCAGCGTGGCGCAGAGGAAGCTCTTGCTTCAAGATGCACACGTGCCATTTGATTGCGCTTCCTGCAGGGGGTCCCTGCACGCTACTGAGACGTGTGTGTCTTTCACGTTGTTAATCGTCTTGGTGTTTTTGTTTGCAATGCTGCCCACAATTATCAGAGTCACAGTCATGTCCAGAAACCGCTTCGAACATACAGTCGCTACTTGGAGAGCATCTGAGAAGTATAATTGTTGATATTGCCTAGTGCATTTGTTGTGTTTCACCGGATTGTTGTTTGTTTAGGACCAACAGTCTACTTTTTGCATCCTAGAAAAAGTCACTGGTTATTGCATCCTAGAAGTACGGTGAATTTGGTTTAGTTTGTGTTCGTATGGAGTTGCCTTCCCTGCTTGGGAGCAACCCTTTGCTTATTTACATCCCAGACAAGGTCACCGCTGTGTTCTACATTGCTCTTCCAATGGCGGTTGTGGCTGCAGTGCTGCACTGGCCGGTGTCATGGCTCATTCAACGCCTGTACCGCAGAACGCCCTTCTCAGAAGCTTTGGATGACTACCAGAAACAAATCCACTGCAAACCTCATCCAGGCCCAGATGCAACCCATCCTCGCAACCAGGGCCTGTTGGTCCTTACACTGCGCGGACTGTGGAAGCACTTCGAGAGCTTCTTTGCTTTCGGCAGCTAAGTTTTCGTGTGGGTTGTTTCATGTAAATGTACATTCAGTTTGATGTTTATTCAGTTTGATGTTTTTTTTCAAGTTGACTTTGAAAGACACCCTGATGTTGGAACAAATCACAGCGACCACAACCATCTTCCACGTGTGGAGCATTGTGAGGCTTCATTCTGGAGCGGAACATGCATTTTGTCGTGGCCAACGTTGTAAGGCCCTTGACGCAGAGTAAAGGCGTGTCCTTCGTGACTCTTTGGGGTGGCAAGCAGGTGGACTACTTTGTGTCCCTTGGATCATGAAGCTGATGGCGGATGTTTGTTGTGCAAGAATTGAACCGCCTGTTTGTGTGGGATTCGAGGGGGCATGAACGGTAGTTGCGCATTGACCCGCCTCCATGAAAGGTATAGAATCTACGCATAAGAAGTATGCTGTCGCTTGAATCACCGAAGAAATGATCATGAGTCAATATGTGGCTTCCAAGTTCAGTCGGTGATACATTTGACAAGGGAAGTAGCTGCAAATGAACCATGACCTACGAAGGAGATAGACATTAACAAATGCTGATGGAGATAGGCACGCCATGCCTTCGGCAATCAGAGCGTGGACCATCAGTGTTACGCCCTGCTAAGACTGCTCTGGTCACATTCGGACTCACTGCAAGTGTGTTCCACCCGGTCTTTGTGCGTTCGATAGTCTTCATGTTCCATGCCATCCACCATGGGTCTTGTGAACGTGCAGAACGCATGTAGGCTGTCAGTACCCCGCCCTGAACAGCTGAGGTCACACTCGTGGGGCACGAGCTTCGCTCACTTCGTGCGCTCCATCCGCTGCCATGCCCTGTCCAAGGAAGGCCCTACATCTTGGATCGACGCAGCCTATTGGATTTGCTCCTTTGCCACTTGGAACTGAACTTTGTTTTGGGCAGCCTATTGGATTTGCTTTTCAGATCAGTTCCGACTGAAGCTATTTCAATTGCTTTGAAAGTCTGGGATCTCACAAGAGAGAGAGAGAGAGACAGAGTCCTAGCAAGGCATTTAGTTTCAGACTTCTTGTCATTGGCATGTTGCAAGCTTTGTGCATCCTAAGGCAGGGAAGGAATATTTGTATTTGATGTGTGGTTGTGTTGCTTTACCCTACAGCACTAAGCTCCAGGTGCTCATTGCTTTCATTTCTGCTGGCCCAGGCCAATAACCAGTGGAATATTGCAGCCGAACTCGCTGACGATCCAATGGATAGCGCTTTTGCAAGGGCTTTGCGGGGCGGTATCAAGGGAGTTGCCATGGTTTTGGATCACGAAGTGCAACCGCTTACACGAGTCTTGATGGCATGGGGAGAAGCAAGCAGAGACAAGTGAACATGCTGTTGACATTCCTAGAACTGATATGACACCTTTTTTGGACTACCAATCACCCAACAGCAATGTCCTTTCAAGACGGGTGTCAAATGGGCCGGCCCCATGAATCGTGCGTAGTTGAAGCGAACTTAGACTATATATGTATTAACATGTGCCGCATTCGTCTTGGATGTTTGTTTTGGTTTTGTTGAATGTGTTCGCTTTTCTGGATATGCTGTGAGATCTGTCCTTACTGAGCCAGGCCAATGCGAAAAAAAAACGACGGAGAAGCACGTGAGTTCTACTGTGGAACCACGAACAGACGCGATCATGAAGACAAGACCATCATAAGACTACCACCATATCATGCATTTCGATCAATGTAAAACAAACAAGACACACAACTAGCTAAAAGAGAACACAAAAGACACGTCTTCATGTGCGCAGAGACTGCTTCAGGAGTTTGGTGCTTGTTCGAGTTCCTCCTCTCCAGTCGTGAGCAGCTGGAGCTGGTCTTCACGACTGACGTAGGAGTCGTAGGTGACGACGCTTCGGTCGCATTTTGTTGCGCACAACGGTTTTTGCATCGTTGGTCCGGGGGTCGGTAATGGTGCTCAGCTTTGAGTTCAGGGTTTTTTGGAACAACTCTGGTTATCGTTTTGTCTAAACACAATCAACACACAATGGTTTCTCATTTTGGTCCGGGGGGGAGTTCGACTGCAATAGCACTGTTCGCTCATCAGTTCGCCTTTTTGAGGTCGAAACCCCATGTCGTGAGACCCTTCGGAAAACCAGACCGTCGACCGAAAACCATTCCGCACAAGTCCGAACGTCACTGACCGCACAAGTCCGCAGTCCGCGAGAATCAACCCCTGGGATCCGTCGACCATGTCTGCAGCCGGGGTGTCACGTACCGTGAAGCGGTTCCAGACCGTGCAGCGGTTTCCATTGCAGGATGGATGCACTTCGTTCGACATTGCCTTGGAAGTGGGCAAGAAGATCGAGTGCCTAGAGGTGGCGAAGTGCCAGGCATCAAGTGATGAAGACAAGACACTTGCTTCAGCAGATGATGGGATGGTTCACCCAATAATCCTGTTTGCCGCAAGGGATGGGCGTCCATTTTTGCGAGGAGGTTGGGCACCCAGAAAAACAGGTCCTTTGTGCGGAACATGTTTAAAGAAGACCAAGAATCTTGGCTCAGATCTTCCAACTGTTGCTTTTTCTTGCAGGAGGTTGCTGAAAAATATGCGTGATTTGGTTTGCCATGCTGGGGTGTAGTACACAGATTGCAAGTACAGTTGCTTTGTCCCGGGATCCCACCTGATCGTCCACAAAACTCCACGTCGCACATGGACCAAGTGACTCGAACAGCTCGGAACTTGGCTGGCTAAGCACCACGAGGAGAAAGACTGTGTGGGACCACAGGATTTTGGTCGGCTCAGACTAGTGAAGGCTAGCTTGGAGCAGCGATTTGAGTGGTTTGTTATCTCTCTGAGTTACTGCACGAGGAGAAAAATCTTCGAGTACATCATCAACACCTTGGGCAGTTTGGAGAAAATGGATGGCCGGATCAGACAATTGATGGAAGAGATGCTGGACAAGAACTTGGCAAATGTGGAAAGCGCGACTGATCGCTTGCTGCACAGGCTAGGTCAAAGCTAACTTTTTGTAATTCATGTCTTATCAAACTGAGCTACAACCAAAGCCCCCAAATGCAGGTGTTATTCGAGAATACAACGATGCAGTATAAAGAATGTTCTACTGTAGCCGGTTTTGGCAGTGGATCAATTAATGATTAATGTCTTCTCACATTCTGCTTGGGTGCATAGTATTTTCCGGGACAGCGCAAGAGTCGCGAACCCAATGTGAAGCTTTGCCAATAGCTTCCAAATCCATTTTTGTCAGAGTACGCACAAGGTCGTCACTCCTCTAATTTATTTAGTCTTTCCTGACCCTACGTGAGCATCCAGCATTCGCCATGTTTTCAGTCAACTGTTTTTTGTTCGCAGCTTCAAATCAAGATCATCTTTAAAAATCTGAAGCAGCCCAACTTTGGGCCTTGGCGGTGCAAGCTGCTCGACGGGCTCGATGGGGGTGCATTGCCATGCAACGCTGATCCCAAATTTCGACCCCATCAAACTTTGGATGAGACACCAGATCCGCCAGCCAAAAGACCTGCCGCACTCAACTCGAGTCGACACTGCGATGAAAGAGGAAGTAGTCGTATGATGTCGTATGTACTTTGATGTGCCAAACAGGCTTTTGCCACGACCGATAGTAGACCAGATACGCAACGTAGTAGATGCGTATCTGGTCTACTTCATTTCATGATGTCTTCTCGATGTTCCAAGATGTTTCAAAAGACCATTTGATTGTCACCCTGAGTCACCCACCACTGAGTCACGACGGAATTGGGTGTGAGAATGGCGACTGCCGCGACTGAGTGGGTTCCCCCCCCAACCCAGTCGGGGCTCGGGCGGCCGCCTCCTCCGGTTGGGCCGCTGTAGTGGAATAGAAGGGGATACTCAACCAGGCAACCAGCAACAACCAATAGGTGCGTGGTACCTGGCATGGTCCCCTCGATGTACAAATAAAATATGCAAATAAACAAACAATAAAAAGAATAAGATATGTGTGTTTGTTGTTGTCGTTTTCAATTACTGTGTTTCTTTACTCTTCCGGAAAGGACATCGTTGATTGCGTTTGGCTCCTTTGTACCCTTTTTCTCGCCATCTAGATCCGTCCAGGTGTGCTTTTCTCATGGCGCTGCGCTACGGTTCCGCTGAAACAGTACAGGCCTTGGTGTGTCGGTTAAGAGGACGTTCATTGCAAAGAAGGTGTTTGGAGATAAGTTGATGTTTGACGGAGAATAACTTGCCCAGTCACATGCAGCTTTCCAGAGATTTGGCATGTGACATGCAAGTCAAAAACAGAGAAGAAACTGAACCTTTACAGTAGTTTACAGTCACAGCAACAAGCACAATCAACAGACTTGCTAGGTAAGTTCGTGCTTGACGGTCGCTACCCTTTCCACCGGCTCCTGAGAGTAGAAATAGACATATGATATTATGAAATGAAAATGTGTTGGCATTCTTGCTCTTGGGCGCGTCCGCCGTGATTGAAGTGAAAAGCAGCCTGGCCAATCAATATGAGCTAAAGCAAAAAGATGCAGACCATCAAAGGATCGGGTAGGAACAGGGCATCGCTACTAGGGGCTCCTGGCCTTACTACTAGGAGCAATGTTTGCTATTAGAAACAATAAAGAACAATTAAGTTTAATTAGTATCGTGTTACTACTAGTAAGGCACTTGTTCCTAGTAGCGATGCCCTTGGTCCGAAAAGAAGCAGACCGTCAAAGGATCGGGCTACTGGTCTTCCCCTTTTCTGCAATACCGCAGCTAAGAAAAATACATGCACTGAAGAAAGCTAGCTTGGAACAAATGAAAAATGGTCACCGAATGACACTTCCTGAAAAACTGGGAAAACGCCTACCTTGATGTCATTTCATGTTGACCCCTACCTGGAAGATTTCGTCAAAAACGACTCATCTTCTTCAGCTGAGTACTTCAGCCAACCAAGTAGCAAAAGACATCAAAGATCTGCTCAGCTGGGAAGCTCCCTCAGGTGCTTTCCACTGTGTCATGTGCAGTCCCACTTTTCCCCAGACGGCCTGATCGATCCTCTTTTCTTCCAGATGGATCGATCCCTTCGAAACGGTGAGATTGTTGTGGCAAAGGGATGGGGGTGATGGGCGACGGCAGGGCTTTGGCACCATGGCAATGCATGCCATGATGATCATGCTGCACCCGTCTCAGTTGATGGGTATTGATGGGTAGATGTACCTAATGTACCTAGCTTCCTTTCACTGCTTTCCGCAATGATACCAAGCACTCCGCATCTATCTGCATAGATGCATGAAGTCCTCAGTGGGCTACCTTTGATCAATGCACCCATGAACACGCTCAATTGCACACTATTCTCACGCAACACTGGCCTTTAAAAGCCAAAAATATGTTGTTTTTTCTTACGGTGAACATCTATCTTCCAAAGTGTTTGCATTTCTCTGCTTGTTTTGGACACCTGGTGCCCCTTTAGTTTTGGCTTTCATCTTCACACATGGATGCGGAGAAAGGACTCATGCGCCAGTGAATTGGCACCTCATCATAGCGCCTTGGGATCCCAATTCACTTGTGGGATGATACAAATGCGGAACAAGAACTCTAAACAGGAATGTGAGGCTGATTAAAACTAGACGACGAGTGGCCCGAAAGCATTTTTCATCACGTAGGAAGTCAGAGTGTGAGTTATCTGTTAAGTGTTCAGTGTGAAGTGTTTAAGTCGAGTGAGTTGAGGTAGTGTGTGGGTCTCTGTGTGTGTATCTATGTCCGTGTGTATATGAGTCTCTGTATGTGTGTGTGTGTGTCCGAGTAAGTTGAGGCAGTGCGTGGGTCTCTGTGTGTGATGTGTGTGTATGAGTCCCTGTCTGTGTGTGCGTCCATGTCTGCTGCTGGTGAAGGTCTTCACTGTAGATATAGTGAACGAAGTAGCGCGCAGGCCTCCCAAACCCCCCACCGGCGGCCAAGCAGTGAC